ATTCCTGCTCTCTGCAGCAGCGTGACTGCTTGGCCATATGTCACTGAAAGAGCAGCTTGCTGGGTTGAGCACCAGCAAGCAGTGATGTGTGGGCACGCTGAAAGTTGGGAGTCTTGCCTTCCACCTGCCCTTTGCCTTCAGTGAAGTGGGCAGGTTGGAGTGTGGGCCTATTCCAGCCAGGGAGCTCTCGCCAGCTCATCTGCGGTGCTTTGATCACTTGCTCCTTTGTGGCTTGTGACAGAGGCACTGAAGGGCAGAAGTCCTCCTAGGGACCTCAGCATGGTTCAGATGGTGCAGAGTTCCTGCATCCAGGGGCAAGCTTGCTTAACTGTATCTCCTGCCCTAGGGAAGGTTATGAGGGGTTTTTTTGTATATGGGCATAATTGCAGTAGATCTGTCTGTTCCCCAAGCACTATGCAGCACTGCCTCAAGGCTCTGCTCTCCCACTTCAGATCCACATGCAACTAACACTTTGCAGCAGCAGAACAGATTAGCTGTGTTGATATAAGTGTTAAAAGGTGTTGGACAAGTATCTCCCAGACTCTGGCATCCCCAAATGGCTCAGCTGGGTGCTTAGAATAGTTTAGATGGGTTGCTGGTCAGATCATACAAAAGGCCAGGATTTCCTGTGGCATGTGGAGCTGGAGCTAAATTTGAGTCTAGAGAGTTCTTGGATGTTGCAGGAGGAAGTTTTGATCTAAGAGTTCTCTCCTTGCTTGCACAGTATCAGTACTGAGTGCTCATACCCTCAGCCCTGTTGGTACAGTTAGGAAGCTGTGTTCCAAGCAGGATGTAGACGTGAGATTCCACCAGGCTCTGAGTGCTGTGAATCAGGTCACGGTGTGTCTTCAGCTCTCCTGCATCTCGTGTGGGTGTGAGGTGATGGCTCACCTTTTGGATGAAAGAACACCAAAATGCCTTAGCTAGATGCTGGTAGGACCCTCCCTGTTCCCCTGCCCACATCCTTCCTGGGTCCTGTGCAGATGTACAAGGCTGTGGGTGCATCGCTGATCTTGGAACTAGTGAAATCCTTGGAGAAAGAGTTCTCTCCTCCACGGCATCTTCCTGAGGGTGTCACTGCTCTCATAGAAGTTTCTGGGAGCAGCTCTGACATGACAGAAGTTGGGCATATCTGCTTAAATGCTCTACTACTTCTTGTGTCCTAGTATGGACAGTGCTTTGAAGAAGTCCAAGTCAACATCTGAGCATTTCATAGCAGAGAAGATGAAGAAAGCCTATTATTTGGCACAGAAGACACCTAACCAGGTATGACCCAATCTCCTCTGATACTTGCATCATCCTGCCAAGCCACTGTCCCAACCCGTCCCATGTGTTTATCCCTTGTCCCTCTCCAGATTGTGCACCTCTGTGGGGACAGCCAGATGATGGGGAGCACTTGGGCTCCAGAGGGTTACAAGACAGCTGGTCAGAAAGAAATTGAGTTTGCTCAAACCACTACTGCACCGGCTCATCTTTACATTAAAATAGGCATGTGCTGAGAAGCATGTTACCCACCAGTCCCCAAACAAGGCCTAAGCACTGCATGTTCCTCCTCATGTTTGCACAGCTCTTGTAGCCTTTGCCTGCTGACCCCATGCAGGTTAGCAGGGAAACTTGCCTTTTGTGTCACCTGGCAGTGTCTTTAAGAGAGGTTGGGCTGCATAATTGGGGGTCTTCTCAGCTCTGTACAACAGTGATGGCACCACTGAGCCTAGATTTCATTTTCCACATGGTCTGTGTCTCAAAGATCTCAGACACATGGAGACTTTTGTCTTGAGAGGCTTTGAGGAGTGGGGAGGTGGGAAGGGGGATGGACAAAATGTAGTTCAGTTCTCCTTGACCCTGGGGTGCTCTTGTCTGCAGGATTTTTATTCTTCTGTCTTGGACATCCTGACCCCAGATGATGTTCGCATCCTGGTGGAGACAGAGGACGAGTATTCCAGGCGGGGGCAGTTTGAACGGGTGTTCCCCACCCACTTCTCCATGCGGTATCTGCATTTCTTTGAGCAGCCTCGTTACTTCAACATCCTGGTGACCCAGTGGGAGCTCAAATACTACTTGAATAAGCACAAAGGTAACTGCCACCCAAGAGCCTGGCACAGTCACCCAGTCAGGAGGCTGCTGACTGCTCTGGTGAACACAGCACCAGCACTTCTAGGAGCTGAAGGACCACTTCCCTGGAGCTGAAGCAGGTTGGGATTCCGCCTTCAACCTGTGGCTCTGGGCTCTTACTGCATTCCTCTTCCCTCTTTTGAGGGAGAAACAGCTGGAGTCACTGGGCTCTGCTCCTTAGAGGTGCTCTGTGAAGTGAAAGAAAAGTTGGGTCTGTTCCCTGGTCTCCCATTGCTTTCTAATTGAAGAAATACTGTAATTTCCACCCCTCCAGGACACAACTCTGTATCTGAATTAAAAACATCCTTTAATGAGGCATAGCTGGGTTGGACCAATTCCTTCTCACCCAGGGCTGTCTCTGTTAGGGTAGCACTAGGAGCTACTTAGGAGAGAGAACCAGTGGGGTCTAGTGTGAGGGATTAGAGAATATAGCCTGTGGCTCAGGGCTCTCCAGCCAGCATGTAATCTAGCTGGAGAGGCTTCTGCAGGAGTCGGCCCTCCACTGAGGCTGAGGCTGTGTGCTCCTTGCCTGGCTGTCATGCAGGGAAAAATTGGTGTTAAAGCAAATATCACTGGTGTTAAAGCAAATACCAAAGGGGTAGGTAACAGTCTTTCACAGGGAATCAGTAACCTCATAGCCCTCTCCAGCTGTGCTGTCAGCTTGTGTCAGCCTTTGCCTTGCTAATACCTTTGCTAGATGCTCTTCTGTCAGCTGGAAGAAAGATCCTGTCATCGTCTGCACTGAAGGGCTGCCCTGAGCTTTGCTGCTCAGGCCAGGGTTCTAGTTCCGTGCTCCAGCTTCCCCAGAGCAGCCCAGTGAGCAGATATGCCCTATCCCCTCATTGCTCTTCAGCTCTGAACAAAACCCAGCCTCGCCCAGCCTCTTCCCGTTCATGTATGCTCCATGCAATCCCCCGCTCTCCCTGGCCAGCAAGATGCAAAGGTCAGGCTGGTGCACAGAGCTGGGGCAGGACCTTTTTTTCCAATGTCCTGGGGCTTGCTGAAAGGTCACTGAAGAGCAAGGATTTCTCCTATAGCCAGGGCTGGTATCGTATAGCAAAGCACAGTAACCCCAGCTGGACAGCATCAAGTTCTTGACCATTGCTCTGCTGGTTCTTGAATCTCAAGGCGCCTTAGCTTGTGTTGTGGTTCTTTCTTAAAAAAAGAAAACAGGAAGAAAGGAGGAGTCCTGGATTTCTTAAGATCTCTGGATTAGCAGAGAGCAGGGAGCTTTGCTGTAGCAGTGACAGGTAGCAGGAGGCAGGAGGCCTTGGAGGAAGTGGAGCCTGTTAGGTGCAGTTGGACACATGGCTCTGCTTCAAGGTGACCTCCCTGTGCTCTGGAACTGTACATCTTATGTGTGTCTGGAGGAATGGTCCCTTCTAGTCACATTGCTGGTGAGCTCGGTCTTTGCCAGCCTTGCCCTCTGCCAGCGGTGGAGACCAGGTCTCAGCCCATGTCAAGCTCTGGATGGATCCATGCAGGGAGGAGGCAATGTGCTGGAAAGCTGCAGCTGATCAGTGCTGTGCAAGGAGGAGGGTGCCTGAGCTGCCCTCCTCTGGGAGAAGGGCTGATGACAGCAAAGCTGCTCTACATTTGCTCTGAAGGAACTTTCACCGGTGCAGCCCAAATCAGGTGCTGCTGTTGGCAGGCACCAGGCTCAGGGGGACAGCCAGTCTGGTCTAATTCGGCAAATCCCGTGTTGCCCCACTTTCCCTGCTTAGCTCAGCCTGCTGCACGGTGTGCCTGGCTCCCTGGGAGGAAGGCAGTCACTGAGGCAGCCCACGTGCTGCCACTTGCTGGTGTTTGCTTGTACAAAAGGTGAACGCCCTTGGTTTACCCCGTGTTTGCTGGGGCTCAGGCACGTTTTTGAGTGGTTATTGCATCACATGAACTGTGCGGGGAGCTCACTCCGTGCAGCATGTTTGTGTGGCCAAGCTGGGAAGGCTTAATTCTCTGCAAACTTGGTTGTTCATTCTTGGTTCTTTTCTCTCACATCCCAGGTCTGGAGCTACTGAAGAAATGGTGTGTCAGAGGGTACCACACTGGGGCAGGGACGGATTTGGCCCAGATGGTATGTATGGCTGTGGGTAAACTAGGAAGAGGAGGTTTTTAGCCTGGGCAGTGTTAGCCAGAGATCTGCATGTTCTGCTTCCTGTGGCTCCTTCCCTACGTGTCTGGCCTGCTCTTCCCTCTCTGGCAGGACCTCCAGGAGGACATGCTTCTCTCTCTCCCACAAATGTGAAATCCACCCAGTATCTCAGATCTGCGATTACATCATATCTGAATATCCTTGTGTGCACTGGGCACAGCCCTACATATTTGGCAGCTGGCCTGCTCTTTATTCCCCTCCATGAGGGAGCCATCTCTGTCACTCCTCTGCCTTACAGCAGGCTGATCCAGTGAGAGAAACTCACTCTTTTGACCTCGAGATGCTCTGCTCCCACTTAGAGCAGAGGCATTCATTAAGTAGAGAGCAAGGACTGCTCTGTTTGCTATTCTGGGAACAGTCTGGTGGCAGTGATGATGCATAGCATTGTGAGGCAGTTCAAGCTGAAGTGCACTAGGGCAGCATACAGCAGAGCCCAGCAGGCTCAAGGGTTTTTTGCCACAACTTAAATAGCCATTTGGTTGTCTTTCCTCCTGCAGTGGTCATTGCCAAAATCTTTCTTCCTCCAGAAGAGCAGTGTTCCATTGAATGGCTTCAGCAAACTGGAACTGGGCAGACTGGGGTGAGTTTGTGCTGACCATGATGTGATGTTCTCAGTGTGACTTTAGGATTGGTGTCCTGAGAGAGAACTAGCAGCAGGGAAAGCTTGATTTAAGGGGAGAGAAACAGGTTGGGCTTGCAGGCTCTGAAGCCAGCCTATGCTCTCTGGAGAGCCAGCTGGTGGGTCTGGCACGATACCTATGCATGCAACTGGGCATGTCTCCTTGGCATTGTATGCTCAGCTTAGATGGGAGTGAGGCCCAGAACAGCTAGACTGGGTAATGTTTGGGGTTGTCGTGGTTGGGACATGCTGACAAGATGTTCCCCACAGGGACCTGCATCACTTCTGTGAGTTCTGATACAGCCAGCAGTGCATCACTTCTGTGAGCTCTGATACAGCCAGCAGTGAGCTGAGGCTCTCAGCTGCAGCATGGAGCTGGGGGAGCAGTGAGGCCTTTAAGTCTTCTGCACGCTCCCAGTTTCCTTGAGCAAAGCTGGGCTGCAGAGTGGGTGCTGCAGGCCCTGACAGCTTCCTGCAGAGAGGTTGGAGGACTGGGGTTTGTCTGTGTGAGCCAAAGTGGAGGGCAGGCACACCCCTGGTCTCTGGTGTTAAGGGAAAGGGCATCCCTGCTCCTGTACCCAGGTCAGGATGGAGTTGGATTTATGTGCAGTCAGGGAGATCAAGCTGTGACCCTAAAGTCTCTTGGATGTCTATTGGGGTGAGCGTTGCTGCCAGGGATGGGAGATTGGGTAGGTGAGTGTGGCAGGCCCCGTCTCTAGGTCTGTGTATGATGATACTGCAGATGAATGTTGTACCATGGCCCTTTTGATCCTTTCTGACTGTCCCTAAGTAGCACAGGGTCTCCTTTCTCTTGCAGCACACTCCTCCCTTCAGCTAGTGAAGACCTCATGAGATGCCTAGAGCCCAGCCCTACTCAGAGCTTACCTCTCAGCAACTGCACTGGAAGAGCCAAACAGAAATCTGCTGGCAGCCTGTCAATGTGACCAGGCAGCCACCATCCCTCTTTGAAGACACCTCAACCTACCTCAAAGGAAGAGACAGGAGTTGGCCCTGGAGAGCAAAGGACTGTGGGAACCCCCTGTGCTGCACGCTTGCCTGTGAGGCTGTTTTCAGAGACGGATGCTTTACTGGGCAAAGACGAGAGTAGTGTGACTTCCCTTTTTAAAACAAATAGCAAAGCCTGGGCAAGTGGGGTTTGTCTGGTCTTTGTCCTAGGCTGCTCTTAAAGCCTGTCATGGTGATGGTTTCTTCGCTGTGTGGGAGCTGGCTGAGCTTGGAGTCAGCCTAGCCTTGTCATCTCTGACTGACATGGGCAGAGCCCTTGCTTGCCTGTTGTCTCCGTGCTCTAGTCTTGAGCTGCTGGGAGCTGAGTCTGTTCCTGTGCTGCTGCAGCCTGGCTCTTGGAGAAAAGTCCCCAGCCACCAGCTGGCTCCTCTGGAAGGAGCAGGGCTTGGGACTTCGGACTAACCCCTTTCATCCTTTCTGAACACCTGTGCCAATGTCCTTCCCTACCCCAGCCTTGAGGCCTGGGGGAAACCTTGGGCTTGCACATTGCTGCTCGGGAGAGACCACGGGTACCCGTGTGGCTCCAGTTTGTCTTGCGGACAGTAGGGCTGTCAGGGAGGGAGCATCCTCTCCAGGCTGTCAGCTCTCCCAGGTGACCTGCAGCATGCATGTGGAAACTGCAGGCAGGTGCTCTTCTCCTGGGCTCTGGTCTCCATTTTCCTTTCATTTCTCAAGGATTTCTATTAAAGTTTAGCACTCAGCAGTTCTGGTCTCCATCTTCCTCCATTGCTCTGACCCTTTTGGGTCAGCGGAGCAGCTCAGCTCTTCCCATGCTTCACTGAGCTCTGGTACAGGAAGAGTTTGTGCCACCACTCCACCATTCCTCTGTCCTTCTCAGAGATAGGGGTAATTCTTTCTGCCCCACGGCAGGTTAGTATGCCTCCCTATATGGGGCGGCAGCTGCCAGTGAACCTGCTGGGGCCTGGGGTCTGCCTTATGTCCTGAGGCTTCCTGCAGATCATTAACCATGGGGGACAGAGCAGCCCAGCTTTGCAGTAGGGGAAGGAAGTGTTGTGACCCCTTGCTTGTTTTGGGTTATATTCTTCCAGCCTGGAAGTGGGATGCTGGGCTCTTGAGGTGGGTTGTGTGGGGCCAGGAGAGGTGCTGAGCCCCATATGTGGGCACTGGAGCCTGCAGAAAGCCTTCCTCTCTCCCTGCAGCCCCCTGCCCGGAGCTGGGCCTTGTTTCTCTGGTCTCCTTGGTGACAATCTCATCTCTCCTCGGCTTCTCTCCAGCACCTGAAAATAGCTGTCGAAAGTGGAGATGCCTGTTCCCTTCCCTGCTGCCAGCACCCGGCAGTGGCCAGGGTGGAGCCAGGCTATCCAGCTCGGCGCAGCTGTACAGGCACAGCCCCATCCCACCCCCTGCACTCCTGCGGGGCAAGGACCACCAGGACTGAGGCAGCCGCCGTGTCCTCGTGTCACCCCAGCCCTGCTGGCCTGTCCCTAATGCTGAAACCCCTGCCTTGTCCCTTCCCCTCTTCCGTGCCTTGGGACAGGGGCTCTGCTCCTTGCACCCCAGCACAGGCTGTGATTCGGTTGTCCCCCAGGAGCCAACCAGAGCCACTCTGTTCCCTTGGCCTGGCAGCCACCAGCCTGGTGG